TCTTCTATTCTTAAACTTAGAGGGATTATAAGATTTACTTTTTATGCTTTTCTCATCGCACTCTAGTTAGCCCTTTTTTTAGTAAACAGATCCGTCAAGTATACTTACTTTAATCTTATTTTATTGCATCTCCATCGAGAGTCCTTCGAGACTTGTTGTCAATCAGATTCCGTGCTAAGACGATTTCCATCCACTCTCTTAACCACAATTGTATTTCCACTTCATATAGCTTAAGCCGGGACCCTCGAAAAAACCCCTTTCTGGGTAAACAATTTCAATTTAAAGACTTTATAAAAGTCGAATCAAATGAATACAAATTGTTGCACGCACGAGAAAAGCTAAACGAAACCCAAATAGGAGGAGAAAAATCAATACAGATGTGCTAAAAAATTTATTGAATGTTTTTCTGTAGGATGGGCGGATGGGGCGTGCCACGCCCAAGCACCTGAACAAACAAATTCCAAACACAAGTCTGGTAATCTTATTAAATCTTTATTTTGTGCTTATTTCTTTTTTTTTCTCGGTGGCGCATTTCATTGGTCCCCGATGTGTAACAAAAATCCACAAACCATGGACTCCACCGAAACTGCTCCTGTTCCGAAAATTCGTCCTGCGTCCTGGTCTCGTTCCACACATGCAGCGAAGTAACAGAAGGTGCCTTACAAGTCTGGCGAACTCTGCCGGAACGCATTCGTCAGGATCCCAGTCTAGCGTCCTTTCGCCAGGAGCATGAACGTTTACATGGCGGTAAGTGCTTTGGATATCCTGCCCGCCCCTCCCTTAGGATCGCATAATTTCCTTTTTTATGCCAGACTGTGTTGCTACCTTTTTTATTGCCGTAATTATTGTTGAATTTTTTATTGCCATTTGCGTCGGCGTTGCCATTGACATTGGACTGCCGTAGGTCCACAGATCCGCAATTCCGCAAGTCCGATTCCGAGTCCAAGTCCGGGCTTTCGCCTGATTTGCATACCAAAAGTTTGAGTCGCCTTACGGCTTACGTCTTATCTTCAATTGTTTTGATGGACGCACTATTCGGGGCTCAGCAAATTATGATAATGGCAGGGGTTTCGTTCTATTTCCGTCACATGATGTCATGTGGCAAGTAAAAAGTAAAAAGCTTCCACAAACTACAGTCTTAACTTTCCTCTTTTTGGAACTAACCTCATAGATAGATATGTATCTACAAGTTCTCCGTCCTTTGAAGCATTTAAATTCCGCATCCTTGTCTCTGACCATCCGTCAGCCAGCCACTGGGTCCCCAAGCTCGCCCATGGTCATTGAGGTGTATTTATAGCCTCGAGTCGATTACCTTGTGCTTTGGCCAATAAAATAATGCCGCCACGTGGCAGATGGCTGGGCCAAGTTAATTTCTGGCCACAGTCCTCCGTAAAGTGTCCTTCCGCGAACAGCGAATGGGTTTATTTTTGCACAAATATTTACCAGTTCCTGGCCACGGTTGAGTCCACACAAGGCACTCTTTTTTTTAATGACTTACATTCATTTATTTTTAACACCACAGATGTTGACCCCTTGCCGGCGGAGGATGGAGATGGTCGGATCGAGAATGGACACCACGAGGAGACAGCAATGGCCACCCACGCCTTCACCCAAATCGGCATCAATGTGACAAACGAGGCGGGTCAAGTGCGGGTGCTAGACGGCAGGTTCGTAGTTCTGTGACTCTCGATTGTCAGTTACGTAATTAGTGCAACCAGTTTTCTGTGATTCCCCTTGCAGGGACCTGGAGAACAACAATGAGGATCAGCATGACGAAGCCGAAACGCACGGAAAGAGTTTGGTGAGTTTTTTAGAATTGGGAGACTTTTTAGGAAGGAAGGAACTTTCCGTCTTTATCCTTTTCAGATCCGAAAGTATCTCATTTGGTTCAAAATAGCCGTTCTGCTGGTGGTCTGGTGCGTCTTCACCGCCTTTCTAATGTCCAACAACGAGCACGTGGACCAGCTCAGCCTCATCAGTGTTCCTAGGAATAGCTCTCCAAGAGGTAAGATATACAAACCTTGTATATTGTTATCCAATCTAATGGAAAATCTCTCTTTTAGCGTTTCCCATTGCCACATCCGATCTTCAGAGGATCGGTCTGGGACTCCGTGGTCCTTTTCGGCTGCAGGAGAATGAGCTGGCCATTAACGACAGTGTTCCCTTGCCCGTGCTCCAAGTGCTGGTGACGCGCACCTACTTTGACGCTGAGGGCCTGGAGATCTACATCCAGAACGCCAGCCAAATGTGGCAACTGGACGTGGTGTATCCCCACCTGATCGACTCCACCAAGGACACGAAGAAGCAGCGAACCTTCGAGCTGACTCCCATCGATCCGCTGTGGCTGGCGCAGTCCAATCACACGGAACTGAGCTTCGAGTTCACCAGCTTTATTGATGGAGAGCTGCCGCTCCAGCTGAATGTGGACGAGTCCCCGATCTACAAGCGGGATGGAGTAATCTATGCGGCGGCTGTGCTCTGCGGACTATATGTGATGATCATCTGGGAGATTGTCAATCGAACCTTTGCCGCCATCATCGCCTCAACGCTGTCGGTGGGCATTCTGGCGGCCCTCAATTCACGCCCCTCGATGGCCACCATTATGGGCTGGATTGACGTGGAAACGCTCCTTCTTCTCTTTGGCATGATGATCCTGGTGGCCATTCTCTCCGAGACGGGTGTGTTTGATTATTTGGCTGTCTATGCCTACAAGATAACCAACGGGCATGTCTGGCCGCTGATCAACTGCCTATGCCTCTTCACTGCGGTCCTGTCCTCCTTCCTGGACAATGTTACCACCGTTCTGCTAATGACGCCGGTGACGATACGACTCTGCGAGGTCATGTGCCTCAATCCAGTTCCCATACTCATGTGTATGGTCATCTACTCGAACATTGGCGGTGCCCTGACACCAGTGGGAGATCCTCCAAATGTCATCATTGCCTCGAATAGCTACATATCCAAGAATGTATGTTTTTCTTTAACATTTTTTTAATGGAAATATTTTAAATAGAAGTAATTTCTTTAGGGCGTCAACTTTGCTGTCTTCACTCTGCACATGTTGCCCGGAGTACTACTGGTGATGGTGCAGACATACATCCAGCTGCGCTTCAAGTTCCGCAACATCAGTGACCTGCAGTTCAAGGACTCGCCCGAGGTGGAGGAGCTGCGCCACGAGATCCATGTATGGAAGCGAGCAGCGGCCAGCTTATCGGCTTACTCCAAGGATGAGGAGCTGGTGCGTCAGACGCTAATGAAGAAGGTGAACCGTTTGAAGAGGAGCCTCAAGAAACGTATGACAGCGGTTATTGAACCTGCCCCCAATTATCAGCAAACTCTGGCCAATCTTCAAGCAAAGGTAACCTACTCCCTATAATATTATTTATTATTTTTTTATAATAACTATGAGTTGTTTTTCAGTATCCCATTCGCAACAAGCCGCTTCTGATCAAATGCTCAGCCGCCTTGATCTTTGTGATCAGTCTGTTCTTCTTGCACTCGGTTCCAGAGCTACAAAGGCTATCCTTGGGCTGGACTGCTCTGCTGGGAGCCATATTCCTCATCATTCTGGCAGATATTGAGGACATGGAGGCCATTCTGGCCAGGGTTGAGTGGTCCACTCTTCTCTTCTTCGCGGCTCTGTTTATCCTGATGGAGGCTCTGACAGAGTTGGGCTTGATTGAATGGATTGGCAACATGACCGAGGGCATTATCCTGGGCGTAGGCGAGGATCAGCGTCTTATGGTGGCCATTTTAATAATACTTTGGGTGAGTCTGTTCTACGAACTATTCTATGACACACGATTCTATTATTGGGTTCTTGTTCTATTAAAGGTTTCTGCTGTGGCTTCCGCTTTTGTAGACAACATCCCATTGACCACAATGATGGTAAAGATCACCATTTCCTTGGCGCAGAACAGTACCTTGAATCTGCCTTTGCAGCCCTTGGTTTGGGCCCTCGCCCTGGGAGCCTGTTTGGGAGGTTAGTTACTTAAATATTTTTATTTTAAATATTTCGATCTTCTAAATATTCAATTCTTTACCAGGCAATGGAACACTAATTGGAGCTTCTGCGAATGTGGTTTGTGCCGGAGTGGCTGAACAACATGGCTACAAGTTTACTTTCCTGCAGTTCTTCAAGTGCGTCTCAAACATTCCCTTAAACGAACTTAAAATAATAATATTTATTTAATTACAGAGTTGGCTTTCCAATAATGATTGGCAGCATTATAGTCACCACCGGTTATCTCCTGGTTTCGCACTCTCTGTTCGCGTGGCATTGATGAAAAGCCCCCGTCTAGGAATCGACCGGGTCGATATCCCACCAAGGCGCACTTTACCTCGTGTTACCAAAACGAACAGCAACTGTTCCAGACGCCACACACATTGTGTTTCGGACCCAAAAACATACAAAAATTGGCACCAAGCTGTAGAAAATGGAATATCTTATACGCCTGATATAAGAATTAATTCTAAAATCATCGCAACCAAACCAAACAAAAACACAGAAACAGAATCGAAGAATATTATATAAAAAAAAAATACATTTATTTTTACACATCGTTGTTAGTGTAGTGTGTAGTTTAAATAACAAACCAACAAAAACAATTAAGAATACTAAACTAAATATAAATTAATTATTTACAATTAATAATGTCGCTGAACTGTGAAACAATTGTTAAATGTTTAATGTATGAATACAAACTAAATAAAAATGAAACATACCAATTTCTAATTTGTATTTTTTTTGCCAAGTGTTTACCTTAAAAGTACTTTATTTTCGAAAGCCTTTAATAAAATTTAATGACCAAAACGAAACTGTGTGTGCCAAGCGTTAATTTGTTGAAGTTTATGGTTGGTTATTAATAAAGTAACAAAAGTCTTTCGTTGAAGGAAGCTGGGATGCCTATTTTCTTTGAGCCAACTTTGTTGACAAAAAAAGACTTAAAGTAAGCAGACGGAAAGTGCACTTTCCATAGTCACATTTCAGTAAAGTTGGGAAACAGACGTGCTGGGAAAAAGTTTCGATAATATTTTCTTATTTTACAAAAGTTTTCAGAGTTTTTCGTGATGTTTTGGCTTAAAAACTGCTTTAGTTTTTATAAATTGTGCCTTTTACTTCTAATAAGTCAACCGTACAGTGAGTTTCATCTTCAAAATCTTCGAATTTTTTATTAAATGTCTGGTTTTAGTACCAAAGGCACATACAACTTTCATAGCCCCACGGGACTTGCCTTCATTGATCAGTCTTATATTTTCAAATATACCAACTATTAATCATGGTATAATAATTCGATTTATTATTTATAACATTTTATTTACACAAGAATTGATTCACAGGAATAGATTCCAGATTTGGTTTTGGCTATCGTCTTGGTAAACACATGGATTTTCAATTAGTATTTGAGCTTGGTCCTCAGAACGCTACACAACCCATTGGTGAATCCATTAAAAATAATATTGGTCAAAAACAGTTGAGGAATAAAAAAATGGAAGTGGAACTGAGCCCTTTGGAAAAAAATGCTGCCGATTGGCTCCAGAGATGGTCGAGTTCTTCGAATGCTACTTCTAACGCATAATAATAAATAAACAAATTCACAAATCTTAAACTTTGATGAACTGCCAGATAAATTAAATCAACAGCTGGATATGCATTATAAAATTTGTGGAAAAAGGAACTAAGATGATAAGTCTTCAAATTATGTCCTTATAATTCAGGAACTTAATATGTTTAAGATTTCGGATCTATATTTTACAAACTTGATTCAGTCTCTAGAAATTTAGAATTGAATAAGATTTTTGTTTTCAATAAATTATAAATTCTATATTTGTTGCTCTAACTAATTCAAATAACACAATATTAATAACTTCTTTGAAGCTTTTCTCCAAATTAGACCCATTTTCTTTTAAATTTGTTTAATGCCTGAACTAAGGCAGTGACTTTTTAAAATCAACTTTAAATGATCAATCTTATTCAACAGCCGCAAAGTTGGCTATAAATTGATGCATTATTTTTATTTTTATCAAGCAAAGAAATGTTTATGTTCATATTGAACATATGTAATTGTTCAACAAGGTTTTCCGACGGTTTTTTTTACGAAAATATCCATAACTCGGAAAATAATTATCCTATCGATGAATGTTATACCTTCCCGATCTTAGATCTCCTCGTAGAATAATTCTGCATCAAAACCTGGCAAACTAAAATCTGACCCGATTTTTGCAAATTTTCATAGGGGTAACATCATGATTTTGGTCAAAAAACGACCGAAAATTTTATTTCTCGATTTTGGCCAAGTTTTGATGCTGATTGAAGGCAGTGAGTTTCCTGATTAGTAAATGGTAATCCTTTTCCAAATCCGATAAAAAATAACTGAAATATGTGCTAAGAAGTGTCTCAAAAGGAACCATTTTGGACATCCTGTTCTTAACTTGGTCGGAAAGGTTATACGGGGGGATTTTTTTCAGGAAAATATCCATAACTCGGAAAATAATTACCGTATCCATGAATGCTATACCTTCCCGATCTTAGAGCTCCTAGTAGATTAATTCTGCATCAAAACCTGGCCAACTAAAATCTGACCCGATTTTTGCAAATTTTCATAGGGGTAACATCATGATTTTGGCCAAAAAACGACCAAAAATTTTATTTCTCGATTTTGGCAAAGTTTTGATACTGATTGGGAGCAATGGGTTTCCTGATTAGTAAATGGTAATCCTTTTCCAAATCCGATAAAAAATAACTGAAATATGTGCTAGGAAGTGTCTCAAAAGGAACCATTGGACATCCTGTTCTTAACTTGGTCGGAAAGGTTATACGGGGGGATTTTTTTCAGGAAAATATCCATAACTCGGAAAATAATTACCGTATCCATGAATGCTATACCTTCCCGATCTTAGAGCTCCTAGTAGATTATTTCTGCATCAAAACCTCAATTTGACCCGATTTTTGCAAATTTTCATAGGGGTAACATCATGATTTTGGCCAGAAAACGACCAAAAATTTGATTTCTCGATTTTGGCAAAGTTTTGATACTGATTGGGAGCAATGGGTTTCCTGATTAGTAAATGGTAATCCTTTTCAAAATCCGACGAGAAATAACTGAAATATGTGCTAGGAACTGACTCAAAAGTAACCATTTTGGCCATCCTATTCTTAACTTGGTCAACACGGTTTTCCGGGATGATTTTTTTCAGGATAATATCCATAACTCGGAAAATAATTACCGTATCCATGAATGCTGTACCTTCCCGATCTTAGAGCTCCTAGTAGATTAATTCTGCATCAAAACCTGGCCAACTAAAATCTGACCCGATTTTTGCAAATTTTCATGGGGGTAACATCATGATTTTGGCCAAAAATCTGCCCAAAATTCGATTTCTCTAGTTTGTAGACATTTTAATGCAGATCGAAGGCAATCAGAGTCCCAAATCGAAAATGGTATTCCTTTCTTGAATGCGACACTTAATGGCTTAAATATTGGCTAAAATCGATTATAATATGACTGAAATATTGGCTGAAAGGTAATTGAAAAGTTTGCTTTTTGGCAATGGCTTGCTTACTTTTAATAATTTATTCACTTTGAGCTAATCACTCAGTTAATTTTTGAACACTTTGTGCGTTTTTTCGCATATGGTGATAAGTTTTTATGATTTTTTTCTTACAATGGCAAGACAAATAAAACTGCAGACAGGAGATGAGCCAAGTCAAATGGCATGGCAATTATGCATATATGCAGTTTTCGAATTTGTTTGCACTTAGTGCAGTGCCACTTTTGCCAGTTTTTTTTTGCTGTTGGCTTAAATGGTCAACCAGCTGATTTCTAGCCATTTTTTGTGGCAGGCAACGCCTATTGCATAAATACTTTTGTAAGCCAGTGTGCGTGTTTGTCTTTTTTTTATGCTTCAGCAATTAAACAAAATGTACGTTCATAAAGCAACAACGTGTGTCTTAGTTAATTAGAGTGACTGTCGTTAAAAGGGGGCGTGGGGGGTTAATTTATTAGCAAACCTGCCCTGAGTTATGCAAAATATGTAAAAGATATGAATATTGTAGTTATATGTACATAAAAGTCGGGGTTCACTTAGCATTGTTTTTGCATATGGCCTGTTTTTTTAGTCAAGGCGTACCACCCATAAGTATTGGCAGTTACCTAAGGTAATTACGGGGTGCAATGAACCTGTCAAGTCGAGGGAGTCACTAAGGTTTTTTAAATAAAAAATAGTTTAAACATAGGTATAAATATAAATAAATAATACCTCCTATCTTCTTTGAATAACACAAGTTTTTATACAATAGGATTACCTACAACTTTCTGTAATCCCCTGAAGTAACAGATCCAAAAATACTTTTCGATCTTTTGTCTTACCAAAAAAAATTTAAAAAATTAATAAATATGACTTACAATGAGCCGCCCTGAGGCAACCTTTCACAATGGCTGTAAAGATGTGCCAAAAAAATAAGAAAAACCTAAAAAGTCAGGCCAAAAGATGGCAAAAACCAAGCCCAGGCCAAGTGCGCCAATTTAAGTGGAGATGACGTTAATGGAGCAGATGCCAGTAGCCGGTCTCAGATTCAGTTTCAGTTTCAGCCACATCTTGAACCGCGTCTGAGTGGCTTAAATGAGCGATTGGGGAGAGCAACGGCGCATGCGCAGCCACCGAGTAAAGTTACGTGATCTTTGAAGAGCACTTAAAAAAAATATTTACTGAGTAAATATTGTATACAGTGGGGTTGATGAAGAATTTTTCTGACAGAAAATATTCAAAATCTTTTATGAATTCTGTAACTTTTCTTCAATCAATATTATAGTTTATGTTTTCAAGTTTATGTTGTTTAGTGCTTTAAAAAATGTCTTCCTTCAATAGAATACCAAAATTGTTCGAGTAAAATAACGATGTTTAAAAAAAATTAATGGGATAAATGGTAACAATAAATAGTAGTCCAATTTTTATTTCTACTTATAATATTATACCTATAATTTCACTATATTTTGTACCGTGTAGAGAGCACTGTTCCGCCTCAAAGTTAACGCGTGTTGCACGAAAACCCGCAGTCGACGAAGTCGCCGCACTCTCCATTTCAGCTCCATTCAGGCCATTCGAGCCCAGTTGCCGTTAAGACGCGCTTGGGACCAGTTGTGGTCAATTGTCAATGGTGGGGCCGCACTCGTAGAGGAAGAAACCGAATTGAAACGAAAATACGTTAGTTTAATTATGCCATTCGTATGTGTTTTGAGTTTCTGCTCTGTGTTTTTTGGCCACAAACTGAAATTGAAACCAAAATTACGTTACCAAAAATAGCAACAAGCTTTTCAGCCAAAAACTAAAAAAAAAAAATAACTTTCATTTTTATGCGATACGAAATATTTGCGCGATGTTTGCTCACTATATTAACAACAATTTGTTCAGTTAACGTGTAAATGAATTTTACAAAAAGTGAAGAAAAAAAAGACCGAAAGAAGCTCAAAATCAATCAAAGCCAAAATGAGACAAGGCCAACCGCCAACGTAAAACTGTAAAAGCCAAACAAATAATAATAAAAAATAAAGAAAAATACAAGGCAAAGACCGAAAAAAAAACCTTAAAAAACAGCAACACAAAAAACCATACAGACTCATTGAACAAAAGTGAGAGTGATTTCCAAACAGTTTGTTGTTGTGGCTTTTTGTATTTACACTTTTATTTAAGCCAGACCCAAACACCAAGACTTTTGTAAGTTTTTCTATATGGATGTGTGTTTGGAAACGTGAGTGTGAGTGTGTTTGCATATCGCGGCGGAATCGAAATCGCGTAAACAAAAGCGTCCAACCAAAAACTTGGCAACAAAATATTTCGAATATTTTACCAAAATGACGCACCTGCTCTAAGGCAACTGACCAACCTCAAGTCGCAATCGCGAGCTGCTACCAGTTTCTGAGTGTTGCGCAAACGGCTAAAAAGTAGTTCGAAATTCTGCAAAAAAAAAACCGACCACTAAAAATAAACATAAAAAAATCACGCCAATATAAAATTTGTAATATCTGTGGCATGAAGTAATCGTCTGTGTTATTGCAGTTTTGTTGTCGCTGCCTGTGGAAATGCTGACTGCCGATCATGTCTTGGCCAAAAAAAAGTGCTAGTCTCTGGCTGCCGTTGCTACTGGGCCTGCTCTACAGTAAGTTAATGCCTCCGAAATCGGTCGAATTACTTAGATTCGGCTTATAACCGGTCAGACGACATCACCCGATCCGGCCCCAGTCTCTCAACTGGAGCTTGACTTCGGCTCGGAGGGTCCAAACGATAGACTTTGGCCAAGTCACCAAGCCACCGAGTCAGGCTTCCAAGATAGCCCCGGCCAACTTGTTGCCGGTCTTTGTGTCAAGGTCGCCGGATCTCGCTCGCTGTTGATGTTGCTTCGCCTGTGAAGTTTTTTTTAAGCATTTGGAGCTCGGGTTTATTACCTTAAGTCACCTAATGGTTCTCGATTTATTTGCTTTGGGTGCAAAGTACACAGACCAAAGTCCTTGAGCTATAAAGTTTTATGAGAATTAGTGAGTTATAGAGAACTATAAAAACTGAAATCGACAGAATTTGTGGCCTGCAGATCCTAACTCTCAAGCTCTCATCTAGACTTTATGGGCAGTAATGTAATAATGGCTTATTTAAGTTCTTTGAAGACAATTGTAAATTTTGATGAGTTGAATGACTTGTAGGTTATGAATTATATATTAAATAAACGTAATAATTTCCTTTAAAATTTATAAATTTAAACAAACAACACCTTTCAAACAAACAACACAACAACACAGTTACTAAAGCTAACGAACCCATTTAAACGACCTTCAAGATAAACCAAGCCCCAAAAACGTAGAAATCCCAAGCATCCGCATTGTTAAAACCTCTAAAATCCCACAACCGAAGAGTCATAAAAGCAAAAGTTACATAAGGTGACCCACAATATTCAACTGGCCTATAATTTACATAAGTGCTGGGGGATCGGTCCACAATAAAGAATCGATAAAATCTTAAGCCACGCCAAGTCAATTAAATATCCCCGATACACTTACTTGCAGCACAACATGCATCCACTTTCATTGTGCCACGGGAACTGCCGTCCCTACTCTCCATAGTTTACTCAAACATACCACCGATTAAAAAGGGTAAGGAGTTTTAATCAGAGCCAAAGATTATTAATTTTAGACAATAATTTCATTAAACAGGAACCGATTCGCGATTGGGCTTTGGCTTTCGGTTGGGCGAGCATGCCGATTTCCAGGTGATGGTCGAACTGGGTCCCCAGAAGGAGACCCGACCCATCGGGGAGCAGAGCCAGGACGACCAATCATTCAACAAGCGCCAAGTGAGCGCCAGCGATCAGAAAGCCCTGCTGCGCCAGCAGTTCCGCCAGCAGGTGAAAATGGAGGCCGAGAGATTGATGACCTCGACGGAACGGAATGCAGCCAGCTGGCTGGAAACATGGTCGAATGGCATGAAACCGCAAAAGCCCAGCCCTAAGGAGCGGATGAAGATACAGCAAAAAGAAAGTTCAGTGCCCCAAAATCCCTCGGGCGCCCTGCAACAATTGCAATTGCTGTACAAAATGGCCACCAGTTCTACCACGGAGCCACCAGTCTCCACGGTGGGTGGTCTCAAGCTCGGAGGTCCTAGTGGGTTTAAGCTGCCCCCTCCGGCCCTCAGCCAGGACACGAATTCCTTGGGCAGTCCAGAACCTGTCAAGAGCAAAAGCGAAATTACCAAGGAGCTGATGGATGTCAGTATGGAAACCGAAGTATAGATCGTCTATATATCTAGTTACTAATAGCTAGTGGTATATGTTTGTACCTTTTGTAAATACATAGGTGCTTAGAAAATCTGTATGTAATATGACTTAGCTTTGATTTTGTAAATAAACTTCAACCTAAACTAAGTTAAAAAACATTCTTTTAATCAGAAGCCGTAAAAACGGCTGTACAAATTATTCGATGGAAATATTTTTAGCCAGAAAGTAGGCAATGAAAAGTTTTCACTGTTTGTATAAAACACGTAGAAATGATTAAATTTTTGTCAGTTTCTTCTTAATATTTTTAACAGAAAAAATATATTGAAAAGTCAATTTAAAAACCAACTGCCCTAAACCAGTTTCAACCCTATAAACTAAAGATAAAATCCTTCATGTAAATATAGCAAATATTGCTTTGTCTTTTTCTCTGAGTTATCGTTTATTATGAACTTATAAAGTGTTTAAATTAATTACATAAATAATCAAGTATAGTACAACGTTATATGGTTAAATGAACTTAGCTACACTATCAGCATATCTGTATGTATTTTGCTACTTGCATAAATATTTTGTTCATCTAATTGTAAACTAGACAAGATTTATGGCTACTTTATAAATTAAACAAAACATACAGTGCCCACCACAACAGATCGCCTGTCGATACACAAAAGTATTTCTCAAGGATGTGCTTGGTGGGCTCAGTGGACATACAGAATACTATAAATCGTTTAAGCTACATAATATATATATAAAGTATGTATACAGTTATAGATTTAGACATAGGAGCTCTAAAGTAAATATTACTTATAAATATAGTCAATTTCCATAAAGCAGACATGTGCATCGGTGTACAGTGTTTTTTGGGTGATTATTTTTCTCACTTTTTCTCCTTTTTATGTGGATGATAGTTTGTGTATGTTTTATGCAAAGAAACCTTTCAGAATCTATTAAAATAATGTCTTTCATTTATGTTTTTTCTCCGGTGGAAAAGCTGAAAACCTCGTCAATCTCAAATGTGCAGTAACAAGTACCATAACTTGTGCGGATGTGGTGTGTGGGTGGGATGATCTCCGGTCTCTTCCATTTACTTTCCGTTCTTGAGAGGCACACCCTCCTCCTGGGTGACGTCGCTGATCTTCTTGCGCTCTGGTGGATTGTTCCAGGGCTGCAGTTCGCCGGAGCCTAGGATGGCGAACACTACAGCTCCACCGATGTAAGTGGCAGCCAGAATCCAGAACACAATTTGCCATTGGTGGAAGGATTTCTATGTGATTTGGGAATGGATGAGTCTAATATCCACATATATAATTAATAATTAACTTACATCATCATAGGTGAGAGCTCCCACCATCCACGTGGAGAGGAATCCACCGAAAGAGGATAGGGTGTTGGCCAGACCGAAAATGGTTCCACCAAAGTTGGGGGCAATATCCAAGCCGTTGCCCAGGTAACCGGCGGTGACAGCTCCGTGAGCGAAGAGGGCCAGGGAGAAGATGGTCACAGACCAGGTGGAATCATAGCCCAGGAAGACCTGCAGTACCATCAGCAGACCAGGAGTGACCAAAGCTGAAATGAATAACACAAAAATTAGACTTTATTAAGAAAATTTGAATCTCTGATCAAATTACTCACCGAAAGTGGTGAAGAGCTTCCTAGTGGCTGTCGTGCTCAGAGTGCCCTTCTTGCGCAGGTAATCGGCCAGGTAGGACGAGGCCACAGCCATCACGTACTTGCCCAGATAGGGAAGCGACGAGAAGACACCGTTCTGGGCAGAAAGAACAAAAGTTAGAAATGAAGAACCCCAACAACTTCCTGGTAATCAACATACCTGCTTGATGTCAAAGTGCAGAATCTCCGACATGAAAGTCGGCAGCTGATTGACCACCGTGAAGAATCCGAAAACGGCCAGACCGTGGCAGATGATGATGGCCCAGACAGCCGGGGAGCAAAGCAGCTGGCCCCAGGGCACGTGACTGGGACGCTTCTTGGAGGTGGAGGTGCCGATAGCCTCCTCGATCTCTCGCCGCTCCTCAGCACTGATGCGCGGATGGGTGGCTGGGGTCTCGTAGACGAAGGTGAACCAGGCCAGAGACCAGAGCAGACCCACGGCTCCCGTCAAATAGAAGACACTGGCCCAGCCAGCAACGGAGATGAGATAGCCACAGATAGGCATGGTAATAGCAGCACCCAACGAGGAAGCTGTAGAGTTTAAAATATAAGATTATTAACTGATTAGGAGAGAATAATTCCCGAAACTTACCCATCATGTTAGACATGAACTTGGAACGCTCCATGGGCGGAATCCAGACGGCAGCCACCGGATGAATGGCCGGCCAGGAGGCGCCCAGCATAAAGCCGAGAACCACTCGGACCACAATCAGCACCACGTAGTTGATGTGCGCCGCCAGCGGCGTGATCAGAGTGAGCAGACTGGCCCAGAGCATGGAATGTCCGAAGACGCGTCGTCCGCCGATCAGCTCGGCCAGACGACCGCCCGGCAGTTCGGTCAGAATGTAGCCCCAGAAGAAGCATCCCAGCACAAAGTTCCTTTGGTATGAGTCCCACGGGAAGCGCTCTTCGGCCACTTCCACTCCATCCCCGGACAGGGAGGACGAGTTGCTGGAGGAGTTGGTGGCCAATGGTAGCGTGAGGTTCCCCGTAAGAGTAACGTTCTTTGTATCAGTCTCATTCTTCACCACCATGTCCACAATGGCGATGGTAAGGTTGACACGCAGGGCATAGTTCAGCATGAAGCCGAGCATGGTCAGTAGGCTGAGCACTTGGCGACATGACAGGAAGTCTGGAAGAGAATGAAACGAGAGCCGAAATTAATGCAAGGTCGGGCAATGCCACTCCCCATAGCCCCAGAGTCTGGGTTAAAAGGTTGGAGGCACTTAAAATTCAAATCTGGAATATTCCCAAAGCTTGGACATCACGCGATGGACCAAACATGAAGTCAAGTTCTAAAACTGGAAATTTCTGGGCTGCCCATTCATTTTTTGATAAGAATTGTCTGGATTTCTGAATAAATCATTTGCCAACTTTTGAGTTAATTAAAACAAACTATAAATTACATATATTTTTCGTATTTAATGTTCTTTAGAAAAAAATATATTTAAATAATTGTTGTATCATCCATAAACATGTAATACTAGTTTCCATGCCGAACCTGTAAGCAGATACCTTATCAAACGGGAGGTGCCCCACTAGTTATTATCTGATGTAATCTGTTGTTTTCGTTACACGATCCGAATCCCGATAAAAGCATTAATTACCCATATTAATGAGCCAATAAAGTCTCAATGACAAAAGTTAACTGTCAGGTAGAGTGTGACCTCAATAGCAAATCGAATTGCACATGAATTTGATTTGAGGATCGCCGGTGGGTGCAGCCAGCTGTTGAATCAGCTTTTGCTCCTTTTTTTTTTGGCAACACGAGATTCAAAGAAGAAATGATCGTTAAGTGGTGGCCATAATGAGCTCCGACTTGCCTGTCATCTTCCGAGAGTCGCTGGACTCTTGGGCGGTTATTAAGTGCCAAAGTGCATTGTTCGAGCCTTTCGCATTTCACACAAATCAGCATATATACACTTTTTTTTTATAAAAATTCGAGTGCCATTGAACTTCATTGAACCCCCTTCAATTTGGAAAATTTACGCCTGGAGTGTCCGTGTAAATTTATAAGCCGACCTGGCATCGGGTGATTGGGGGATCGGGAATCGGAGATAAACTTGCTCCAGCGACTTTCCCATTAATTCGCTATCAGCGAGGGGTGGCAACAGGAGGGCTATCGGGGCCAGTCTATCGGCTGTCTGGCAGGAACACGCCCACCTCGCTGATTATAGCCCCAATATCATGTTAATGTCATGCAAAAAAAATCACAAAAATAAAACCAAAACAGCCAAAAACAGTTCGGTTTGTCTAGACATCTAGTATCATCAAACGGCCGGCAGAACAATAAACCGAGAGCCGAGACACTTGACTTGTATTCAAATTAGCACTCGAAAATAACCGAAACTGAACCATCAAAAAAGAGCGTTAAAAGTTAAATAAAACAACTAGTCATGTTTGCTATAAATTCTCAATTTCGGATCCGAAATAACCAGAAAAACGTGCCCGAAATACACAACGCAAAAAAAAGACTAAAATACACAAAGTCTACTCGATTCAGATCAGATCGGATCGAATCGGTCTAGAAGCTATATCCAAAGTATGGGAGACAATATCGGAATCGGAAGATCTTTGATTAGCATTGGCTATGGAAGTTTACGTCAATCAGAAAGTTTAGATCGTTATTAGCTCTCAGAAGTCTGTTAATTTCTGGGGCATGTCTTAACACCTGACACCTAACAACTCAAATCAATGCTAAGAGAGCGTGTGCCACAAATTATCATCATACTTGATCGATAAGGATTGATTTATTATAAAAATTATAGCCTATTATTTATTATAAAATCCTTGATATTTATAATTACTATAAATACTAGTACCTATCTGGAAAAGATAATCCTAGGTCTGGACAGGAAGTCATGACTAAAAATAAACTGGAAGCTTTACAAAATTTAAATTCCCATCCGATAAGATAATTTTGCCAATCAAATTTTTATAACAGCTCTAATTCGACTAATCATTAAGGGTCTCTAAGCAGAAGTTAGTCATCTCATTGGCCATTTGGATTCAGTGACTCCTTCCGAGAATCTTAATGGCTGAAACTTGTTTGCCTCCGAGCTGGAGTCGCTTGATTAATTGTCGCCTCGAACTGTTCTTTTTGTTTTGAAGCGGCTGCTTTGTTTAACGTCAAACTATTTTTATTTTTTGGCAATAAATTAAGCGAAGGCTATGCCTGATGTTTACAACCAAAGGGAGGGAGGAGACGTTGTCGAAACCGGCTAAGAAACTTGGCAATATTTAGGTTTCACACTGCCGGGTCAACTGGATTTTGACAAACTCTTCTCAGAATTTTAAATTAAACATGAGAGTCCGACTTTGAGGTTGTCTCGTGCATAAACGTATTTGATTTTGAAATTTTTGGCCTTTTTTTTTGTTGGCTGCTGATTTTTATTTCATTTATTTTTTTGCACTTTAGCATCTTTAGCATTTATTGGCTTGGGCTGTTGCTGGTGGTGCTCTACTTGAAACAAGTTCCC